ACTATCGTCTTCGGTGTCCTCAGTAAAGAGTTCATCTGATGAACAAATATTGAGGACACTAACGAGCATTTCGGTGACTGTAGCAGAAAAAAAACGTGGTTAGTCATATGCAGAAAAGTAAATCAATTGGAAACAAGATTTAAGGGACAAAATTAAATCTTGGAAAATTCTTCAAGAGTAGAACTCGTCGTCATGCCAAATAAAAATAACACATATTAATAAGCCATTTTACAAAAAGGGGCTGCACTCTGCATTTTCTCAACAACTATGCAATATGCCAAGTTACGTGTCGATGACTGGTCCTAGGCATTACTAGTTCCTTTTCGGCTAGCAAAGACACTCAAATGCACTCGTGAGCAAGTTACAAGCCATAACTCTCGCGTAAAACTTGCAAAGTGGCTGAGGGCTTTGATAGAAGCCTAGTGAGTTGTCGGGACTCAATTGGCGCGAACTTGCGATTGACCTAAGGACGCTGCACTTCGTCATAAATGGACTCATTAGAATAATTTTCTTCTCCATCATGTCTATATGTCACAAAACTTTTAGTCAAAACTACCATGTTTGATGTGAAAGCTGGGTTGAGTGAACAACGGAAGCCACGGGATGGCAAATTACATCCGTTGAGGTAAAACATCTATTTAGCCCGATTTAATACATGAGAATGCAAGCACGAATCAAGCGAGGTAGTGACCCACCCTTTTCACCGACAAAAGGGAGAGACCAGGTGAAAACATCCATGAAGTTTGGCAGCCAATAGGGATGAGGTGAGCAATTGAATTGTCGGATGTTCATCACGTTATTCTCATACTTGAGAATCGCAGCTTTAATGTATAAAAAACACGATGCAATGAAAGACTTCCTCAATGCAGTGGTAATAAACAAGGTTGTTTAAAGTTCTGTTACATAAATTACCGACAATTACTAGAAATTAACATCACATTATGTCAGCCTGTCTACGAACCGACCGTTTCCCACGTTTTCGAAGAAAATAGCTAGATAGAATCCTAAAATACTTGACATTCAAAAGCATATCGAATCGCTCTAGACGCCTGGCAAGAAGCAAGATACCCTTAGGAAATAAAATCGGTGAGAAATTTGTCAACATTGACAGAGGGCACAACGAATAAAAAATCTGCTATTCTGCTATCATGATCGATTACCTATTGTACGGACTGTGCAGGTTTGAATATAACAAGAAGTAACCACCACGTATATCACATTGTGCTTCTGTACCCCCATAATGAATGGAACACGAGATAAAACGATGTGAACGTGTGTGTTTTTTGCAAAGTTGATGCTCCTGGTGGTTTAACACGCTAAAATAGTTCTGGGGGTTCAGTGGAGTAGGGGTCCATGTTAAACTTCTCACACGACTAAACTGTAATGTATGTTAGACATGGACACTATCAAGACGAATTTTAACAGGGAGGATTAGACGACAGCGAGCAGAATTGGTTTGCAATAAACAACAATACTTTTACGGTGTGTTTGCACTTTCTGAGTTCTAAAAAAACCCTTTACCTTTTATAAATCCATTTCAATTCCATGTATATCATCATTCCCCTAACAGTCTATCGGACGTCTACAATGGGAGTGCTTTTCAGCAACCCCAACCCCAGTTAGGCCAGAGCCCGGACATTACAAGAGATAGCATATTGCGCCAAGCAAAAGCTTACCCTTATTATTGTAAACATCCAAGTAATTTGGGGCGGAGAATATTGTGATCAGAGCAGGAAATCCTGTTTGTTGGTTTTTGCGATACATACGATATCTACAATTGAAAAAAATTTCCTCGTTGAGGGTCAATCGAGAGTCTTTGTAGCTTAAAGTTGTGTTATCACGTTTGCCCCAAACGGACTTGAAAATCAAGCACGTAAAGGAACACAGTCCAATTTGAGGGACGCTGGTGAGTTTCCCAAGTGACTTGCTGCTGCTCAAAGTCTTAAAATGTTTTCGCTGTTGACAAGGTAGAGATTTTACGCAAATTTGACTTCTGCTTTAAACACCACTATTTTTTGCATAGATTTACCAAATCAAATACAATTATAACACCCACATTGTTCTAAACATGCTTGTGAACAATCAAGGTGTCGAACACAGGTAAGGCTTGAGTGAGGGTACTTTAAAACGACTTCTCAACATATCTGGCAACTTCTATCACTTGATAAATCTCTGATCTTTAAGTATTGACCTTGTGCTGTTATCAAATTATATCAGTAGATGCAAGCAATCATTAATTTATTCTGAGATACGCATCCCCGTTCCCATAGTAAATCGGATATGCACAACAGGTAGCGTGCAAGGATAGCAGCTAATATATTCTTTAGGCAGTAAATGGAGCTCGGTAAACTGGTCATAAACACGGGAATCGCTGCATCGATGCTTGGTGTCACTTGCATAACATACGCAAATGCGGAGGTGTCAATCAAGGTTCTGGAAGAACATATGCCACCAACACACCAGTTCCCAGAACTGGCAACGTGGACAGCCAATCACGAAACTGCGTGAACACCAATGAGGTTATGGCCAATTGGGATCGATGCACGGACCAAACAACGCGATCGATGTTCAAAGAAAAGAACGCTTTGTCGTAACCCTTTAAGATGCACTTAGGGACGTTTAAAGGCTTGGAGGCGGTGCCTTTCTTGTTAGTAAGAATTAGGCTTCCTTTAATGTGATGCATCTCTGCCACTAGTCAAACCACTTAAATGATTGATGTGGTCCACGCCTCAGACACGTCTGAAGAACGCCATTAAACGACATTTTTCACTAATAATTTATAACGCAAAACTTAGTGCTTTTAACCCGCTACATTGGATCCAACAAAAACGATTTATAACCTGCGATTCTAGATCAGAAGCAAATTATGTTCAACAGTACAACGGGTGCATTTTGCCTACTTGTGGCAAAATTCCATTCGTTGATTGAAGCCTAGACAACGAATTCTAGTAAAACTTTGTTAAAAAATACATAGATTTTGCAGTAAAATGCTTATTATTTATAACAAGTAAACTCGGTCTTGTAAAAGAGCAGACGCTGGAACGAGGTGGGAGGCGATAGGCATCATTAATATGAAAGCAGACATTTCGCAGGACTCAATTCATCGCCCCCCTCATCTGTCATGACTCAATGCGCCTTCTTATATTGTTATTTATGGCCACACTCCAGGAATCATTCTGCGGGGTTGGACGTTTCGTTTCATACAAATTAAGTGGTGTCCGCCAATTTGAAAATCGATGTGGTGGCAAAATCGAGAGATGGCAGATGCAAGCTAGCTAGTGCGATCGACAAGCCACCGTAACACCTGATTGCGTGAGTGACTGCATCAACAAAAGGGGAAAGTTTTTTCCTGATCATATTTGGGTTAATCAATAAATATTAGTTTGATATTGAGAGCACACTTTTTCACATCATAAACATCTTTTGTTTAAAACAATAATAACAGGAGTAGTAGACTGGATGAAAAGGTTCCGTATATTACGGACTAAATTGATTAGGCAAATTAAAAGTTACTGCATAACATCGTAGAAAGAACAATTAGCATTGATTTTTAAGAAAAATATCATTCGTACTTTTCCTAACTCATGGTCTAAGAGGTCCAATCTGTTAGAGTGCAATCAAATTTGTGTAGGATTCATCCTTTAGCTTGCAACTGCATTGAAAATAAAAGTATTTTCACAGTGTTTTGTGGTTTTGAAGGTTCGGACGTAAGATTCCAGAGCACTGAACGGCAAGTCTGCGTGAGTTACAGGGCCCCTCAAAATAGTCGAGTTTACGATGGCGACTGACAAGTGGCACATTCGATGGCACTGCATTTTACTGGGGGAAAAATGC